GTCCAATGACATAATGTCACGTGACATTATGTAAACAAAGTTGTACACCAAACATGACTAGTGGTTGATGCCTTCTTGCTAACCTGTACTATCTATGTGTGTATATATACATATGAATAATACTGTGTAGTTCCACAGGGATTGCAACCCAATTTAGATAACGCTAAATGATAGTTTAAATAAAATGTGAAATTACTTATCATTTAATGTTAAATTGACGTCACTTGAACTAGGGTTGCAATTCCAGTGAGCCTAAATAATATTAGTCAATGTGTATACATAGAGCACTTCTCTATTACTTCATCTCTTGCCGTGGGAATTGTTTGATTTTTAGTCACTATCAGATCTTTTTTTGATTCTTTGTTTAAAAAAACACAAAACATAAAGCAGACCTTTTTCATTTGAGGTAATCCCATGTTCCACCGTCTATCTCTTGGAATCTTATCTTCATATTTGTTTATGTGTCAATGAATTGTGATTGCGGATAAAATTCGAATCTTTGGGGGTTGTTCAGGGAAATTCTTGGCTTGCGGTGGTGTTTATTAGTTGGGATTGCATATTGATATAAGATGGTAGTGATAATTATCCACGTGGGCGATTGGGGTCAAGACCACTCGAGACACGCCTCATGTCTACCGCATACAGTCGTCGACCCCCCATGAGACCCTTTACGTCCACACGAACCTTCTACCATCGTAAGACTGTCTACCGCCATACATTCATTGACCTCATGAGGCCGTCGACCCCCCCATGAGGCCGTCTACGTCCACCCGGTCCGTCTACCACTATGGGTTCAACACCACACATAATCACGTAAATGACGATGAGCTAGACAGGAACCACCTAACGGCAAACGTGGGTGCAACCAACCACTTGAGAAGTGAGGGTCACTCTACCAGAACGCGAGGAAAGTGGGGAGGTTTACGTGGAACACGTGACACGAGCAACCGTCGAATGCATGCGTAGCAACTGGTGCCTATAAATACCTCCAAGGTGAGAAATGTAGCTTCTTCTTGAAACCCGAACTATTTGAATTCCACTATAATCTCTTCATATTCTCTAAAACCGAACACTAATTCTCACGTCGGAGGTACAATGGGGGAGAAAGCCCCAACCTCATTTTGCAGGTAGCAGACATTGATCGGAGCAGCCGGAACACCATTCACGTCAGGGAGAACATGGAATTTACCTCACTATTATTTCACATATAAAAGTTTCAAAATTTTCTGTTATTATTGGAAAATCTTGGATTTTCGAAGTGGGTGTCTTGTAAAGTTCGCTTTTCGTCCAGAAAAGTGAATTCGATATGCAAAATTTGGAGGCCTATGGAATGTGAGCTCCTGTTCATTGTTGTGGAGTGGTATGGCAAATGCTGTGATGTGAACATAAGCTTGATTTTGTTAAGATAAAAGGGTCCCCGGCATAGTTGAACTGGAGGTTTTTAGGAAAGGAGCCGGTGGGGATTGGAAATGGGATCGAGGGAAGAGAGACATAGGCATAACCGTGATCTTGTGCCATTGGCTGCACTAATAAGCAGGGAATTAAAGAAGGTGAAAATGGAGAAACCAACCGTGAGATATGGATGTGCAGCTCAGTTACGGGATTGCCAGAGAGTTACGGGAAATCCATCAACATCTTTCTCTGTTCTTGCGGTATGTAACTCTTTACGTGATTTACTATTTGTGTTGGTTAAACATTTTATTTTTAAAATTGCTCATTTTTGCCAACTTCCATTTACATTGACGGGAAAAAGCAATCCGCAATGAATTTTGGGAAGTACTTTTCTGTCTATCTATAGTGCACCTTGAGCATGTTTGAGGGTGCTTTAAATTTACTTTGAAAATAATGTTTGGCATAATAAATAACTTAAAGTAAACGAAACACGCTGTTCGTCTAAAATTATGAGGCAACAAGAACTAGGAGATTATTAACTTCAGGCTAAAAGTAAATTATTTGGTTTAGCTGTAGATTCTGGTCATAAGTTGTTTCATGTATCGCAGTCTTCTATACTTCAATTTTCAGAATGATTTGTCATACCTGATATGATGGTAATTTATGTATCAAATTTCAGATTTTTGATGGGCATAATGGGAATGCTGCTGCAATTTTTTCAAGGGATCATTTATCGAATTACTTTTTGGCGCTATTCCTCGAGGGCTCGGGCAGGACAATTGGCTTCAAGTTTTACCTTGAGCCTTGGATGCTGGATTTGTTAAAACTGATAAGGAGTTTTAGAGCAAAGGCATGACATCCAGAATTCAGTCTTCTTTTCAATTTAACGCATTTCATTTTTTATGTGGCTCAAGAAGCTTACTGTTTCTCTCTTCATCTTATTCTTGCCAGGAAAAACTTCAGGAACCACAGCAACATTTATAGTAGTTGATGGATGGACCGTGACTGTTGCTTCAGTTGGTGATTCCCGTTGCATTTTAGATGCTCAAAGTTGTGGTATCTCTATCTTGACTGTTGATCACAGACTTGAGGAAAATTCAGAGGAGCAAGTGCTTATCTGGTTACCCTTTATATTTATGTTTTTCTCCCTTCATTTGTTGAACCACCCTATTTAACTGCAATAGTCTCTGTTACGTGCAAACATGATTCATTTTTTGATCAAAGATTTGACACGTGTACAGTTTTCATAAATTGATGGCTGTTAAGATTTTTGGACCTAGGTCTTTTGCATGAATTTGGTACCATGTTGGAAATTATAGAGTAAAAGTAATTGAGACATAAATATGAGGTGGAATAGAGAATTTATGTGACTATTCTCCTCTTATATTACAATGAGAAAGCCTATTTATATTGTTACAAATAACAATAAAAGGGGAGTTATAACTACCTACCATAGTAACCATCTTGTCTTTCTAATTGCAGAAGAGAACGTGTAACAGCAAGTGGAGGTGAAGTTGGAAGGCTTAGCATTTTTGGTGGCACGGAGGTTAGATTTCTTTCTTTGCATCACCTATCAGCCATGCATTGGAATGTCTTCTTATAGGATGAAGAAACTTATTTTCTTCACATGTTATTGGAATAACGTTAATCGTGCTTTTCTTGACTTTTGACAATTTGGTCATCTCCGATGTTGGCTGGGGTTTATGCCTTTCAAGATTTATTGGAGACTTGGACGTTGGTGAATTTATTGTTCCAGTACCGTATGTCAAAAAAGCGAAGGTAGCTACATACGTATTGATCTTTTTAGTGCTAAGAATCTTATTCAATTGTTGAACCTCCTCATTTAAATGCTTAGGTTCTTAGAGATGGAATAGACTTAGTTGTTTGTAAGTTAGTTTTCAACACGCCCCTTGACATGTAGGCTGGATTCATTTTTTCACAAAAGGCCACAATTTTAATAAATAGGCAGGGACGAGACTTGAACATGGAAACATACCTACTATGATATCATATTGAAGCACCTTATTTAAAAGCTTAAATTTTCAGAGGCGACAAATTATACTTAAAGTTTATCTTCAAATCCTACGACCCCCTCCCCCACCCCCGAGTTTTGTTTACTATTTCACTTACCTTATTTATGAAGTAGATGGATTATCTGTGGAATCCTTGAATTGTTAAATTGCTATGAAGCTATCAAATGGAGGTGGAAGGCTAGTAATTGCCTCCGATGGCATCTGGGACGCTTTGTCATCAGAAATGGCTGAAAAATCTTGTCGTGGATTGCCTGCTGAACTTGCTCCTGGGCTAGTAGTGAAGGTATTTAACTTCTAAGCTCACCAGTCCATTAAATTCTAGTCTCCTTACTAGTTGAGTTTGTGAGTACCCTTTATTAGTTTTTTTCTTTTTTTAAAAGTCTTTTGTTTGACTTTAGCTTATTTGAAAAAAAAAAAAAAACTTTTCATGAGACTTTAATTTCAAGTTTTTAAAAGATTTTGTGTACAAAAGTTAAAAATGATTTTATTTAAATAGTGGAATAAGATTTAAGTTATGATGTTATCTTCATTATGTAATTATGATTTTGAGACTCGTTAATTTGTTGCAAACTCCAAAAGCATGTAAGAAATTCTTATAAATATATTAAGTAGGATTTGTCTAGTTGAAAATTAAAACTATGAAAAATATTCTAATTTTTGCATTTCGAAAATTCGAAAATTGTATAATTGACTAATGGTATGAATTATTAAGTAAATATAGTATTTTATAATTTTAGATGTTTGATATTTTTTTTTTCATTATTAAATGATAAAAAAATTTAAAATAAGAAAATATTTTTTTTACTCCTAAACCTCACCTAGACTCGCTTAATCTCATAAAGCTTGAAAATTCACCTCCACGCCTAGCCAAGTAGCTCGATGCTTTAGATCACGCGGGGTGTGCATTTATATTGACTGTATTTTTGGGTTAAGTAATCTATTGGGTATTAGGTTCGCCGACATTCCTACCATATGTACGGAATTTGGGGCCCTTTTCTGCGAGATAAAGAAACATGAGAAAACCTTGTACACTTTATTTTGGTAATTTTTTTTTTTATTGAAAATCAACAATTATACTATTACATTCCATCCGTGTTAGAACTTCTTTTTCAATAGACATCATGATCAATTCATTCAACAATTTTTGTGACATTGTCGACCAAAAGCAGGATTTTATCAACATCAACTTTGAAAAAGTTCTCTCGGTAATATTCTATAAGCAATTTGCACATCAGAAAAACAACCGTTATTTTATATAGTCTAAAACTTCAATCACATTTCCAGTGTCTTCTAACAAATAGTTAATTTACAGCTCAGAAAATAAATTTGTACTTATCAATATCATAATCATTCTCTGCTTAATTTTTTTTTTTTTTCCGAGTTTATGATATGCACACTTCAAATGATTATCATTTGCAGTTTGCATTTTTTTAAAACAATTTATTTTAAAGTGATTATCATATATTTTAATGTCTTACTCTATTAATAGAATACAAATTATTGCACCAAATAATCATGTTAAACAAGAACTCAAAATTCATAATGTCAGAACATAAATTTTTAGTATCTGTAAATATCTTAGGGTCATCACATGTTTTCACTAAGTGTTTTAAAGTGATTTTTATTTTTGATTAATGAAATTCTATTGCTTTAACACTTTCAATTTAGCATTCTTAACGTATTTGTAATAATGGTTTAAGTTTTAGATCTTTCACATTATACTAAAAAAAATTTCATGCTTTAATAAAAGATAAAAACTATATATTTAAATATGCATCGTACAATTCCAAAAAGACACTTACAGCTTGTTTGGTAGGAATTTTTGAAGGAAGAATTGATTTTTGAATAGTGATACGATAATAAATGTGTGGTTGAAAAAGAAGAAAAAATTATTGATGTGATGGAAAATATTATTTTATTGAAGAATGTGTGATTGAAAATGAGAATTGATTTGCTGTAGAATTTGAGAATNATATGATGAGAAATGTGTAGTTGAAAAAGAAAAAAAAAAATTATTGATGTGATGGAAAATATTATTTTATTGAAAAATGTGTGGTTGAAAATGAGAATTGATTTACTGTAGAATTTGAGAATTCCAAACAAACACTCCCTTAGCTTTTATACAAAAATTTATCACATCACAAAATGTAAGAATGACTCTTTTTGAATATATTTTTTTTATTATTTATAATGATAATATATAATTAAATTTTTTTGAGGCTCTCATCAAAGCTGAATCCTAGAGGATCGGCTCTCATCAAAGTAATATATACTTCTCAAGACTTTTCAAGTCTACTAAAGTGACAACTGACATTGTATGGGACCCATACCTTTTCACTCTATGTTCTTGTTGTTAGGCATGGTTTTCTCATGGAAGAGTGGGGCCTTAAAGTTGTTTNAAATTAGAAATTGACAAAAATACTCACAAATGACAAAACTAAACCGTAATTAAAATTCTCAAACCTAAACCAAATCGTTCAAAAACATTTTGGTTTGGTTCAAAACCATTTCGTTGATTGGTTTACGTAGTACCAAACCGACGGTTTAAAAAATGCAATTTTGGTTCGATTTTTTCGATTTGACGGTTTTTACTTACAGCCTAATCACATGTTTCCATTAAGTGTTTTAAAATGATTTTTATTTCTGATGAATGAAATCTTATTGCTCTAACACTTTCAATTTAGCGTTCTTAACGTATTTGTGATAATGGCTCAAGTTTTAGATCTTTCACATTATACTGAAAATTTTTTCATTGCTTTAATAGAAGATAAAAACTGCATATTTATATATGCATCGTACAATTCCAAAAAGACA